GACGGTCGCAAGGCACTAGAGCTCCGACCGTAACGGCCCGTAAAAGCGTGTTTTACCAGCGATTCCACAGGAATAAACATCCTAATCCACAAAATAAATGATGTCTCAAGCGAAGAACAAAACCAGACTCCAGGACAAAGGAGAAAAAAGCACGTTCTTCGGAACCAGGCAGCCTCAAACGAAGCAAGCCGTCTCCCCTGGAAGTGACCAAGATGGCGACGGAGATGACACACTCCCAATTCAGAAAGACCCAACAGGAAACTTACCGGTGACACAAGAAATACTACAAAAATGCCTTGACGACATGTCAAACAAAATCCTGACCAACATCAACAAATCCATAGCGGATATTAAAAAAGAAGTACACGATTTGGGAGACCGCACAGCGAGAATAGAAAACAGAATGGGCGAATACGCTGAAGCCCATAACGATATGGCGGACCATGTACAAAAATTGGAACAACAACAAACTCAGATGCAAATGAAAATAATGGACCTAGAAGACCGCTCGAGGCGCCAGAATATAAGATTAAGAGGCATTCCAGAAGAAGTTAAACAGCCCGAATTAAGAGAATACCTGTCAAGCCTCTTTCACACTATGGTACCGGACCTACCCGCAGACCTGTTACTAATTGACAGAACCCACAGGGTGGCCAAACCTACCTTCTTGCCGGCAGTGACGCCGAGAGATGTATTGGCAAAACTTCATTACTACCACACAAAGGAGGCCATTATGCAAGCCTCGAGGTCAGGTAGAGACTTACCAGGGAAGTTCAGGCCTGTGCAGCTCTACTCGGACCTATCAGCCCTAACGCTACAAAAACGCAGGGAATACAAATACATCACGGAAGCCCTGAGAGAGCACAAACTCCCATACAGATGGGGGCACCCTGTGCGCCTGCTAGTCCACAGAAACGGGACAATAACGACCATCAACTCACCAGAAGATGGCAGGAAGGCCCTACGGAACTGGGGAATAGCGATGCCACAGCAGACGGAGAAAGATCAAGCAACGCAGAGGCTGTCCCCCGACTCGAAACGGCAACGCAAATGATCCGGTACCACACAAGCTCCACGCCATCGAGGCCGACGCCTAGGGATTTGACGACACACATAAGTACAAAACGCTATAAAGACTGTACTTAGCATATAAGTTTTAATTACATTTATGTATCAGTTACATTTATATTTATATTTATATTTACGTTCATGTTTATACCGACACCTAATGCAAGAAGCACCATGTATAAGACACTATGTGTGGAAGGAAAAGACTAGATAGGATCTTGTTCACACGGTGAAGTGTTCAGATAATTAACCGCTAAGCAGGACCTACCACAAAAAGCAGTAAGAGTCTGACAATGTGTAGCAGAGCACGTAACACCCCAAGAGATGTATAACCTGCCGAGTAGTAGACTAGGATTGAGACGTGAGCGAGAGACTGCTCAACTAAATGATTGCTCAGTAGGAGACACAGATCTACCACAGACGGTAGTAAGGGACTAAACATATCACATACAGCCCCCAACACACCAGGGGTGTCAGACTAGCCGAGAAACAGAATACAACAGCACGAGGCCAGAGATACTTATAGCTAGTAATGACTACATGTGGAGGTATAGGACTGATAAGTACATAGGGTCAAAAAAAAAAAAAAAAGGGAGGAACTTGCACAAAAAATATAAGAGTCACACCTCAGCAAGGAAATCCCTACCAAGCAAACACTATCACAATGCCCTATGTACCCCAAGTTACTAGTAACAACAATTGAACGAAAGTATAGGAATGTTTAATTATCAGGACCCAGCCTGCAGATTATATGCCCCCCACCCACACCACCACTCCTCTACCCACACAATGTCAGGGTAACCCTGCCCAAAGCAAAACACATCCCAGACACCAACGAAGACTTGTACCACAAAAGGAAACACAGTCGGAACTTAACGACCATACTTCCCAGCGAGTAGCAAGAAAGGGAGGAAAACGATATAATCCAAAGTGCACACTTATATTGAAACATCACCATGAAAATATACTCCCATAATGTTAAAGGGTTGAACACCCCATACAAACGCCACTGCCTCTTTCGAGACCTGAAACGAGAGCAGGCAGAGGTGATATGCCTCCAAGAAACACATTTCAAAACTGGACCAACTCTTAGGCCTGACCTCTTTCCACACCAATATCATGCAGTAACAGGACACAAATCCAAAGGAGTGTCAATAATGATTAGCAACAAAGTAGCATTTACTCACCATGACTCCCACTTAGACCCACTAGGCAGATATGTAATTCTGGTGTGCACCATAAACAATGTACTTTACACCATAGTCACAGCATACGCTCCCAACAATGACCAAAGGAACTTCTTGCATAAACTTCTAACGAAAGAGATGTCAATACAGAAAGGAATGTTGATCTTGTGCGGGGACTTTAATCACATCATAGATCCCCAACAAGACACCACAGCACAATGGAACTCCACGAATAAAGCAAAACAAAGCAAGGCATGCAAAAATTACAAGAAATTACTAGACGAACACCAACTTTATGATACATGGAGACTACTCAACCCACAACAAAAAGACTACACCTATTACTCGGCCCCGCACAGAACATACACTAGAATCGACAGGTTTCATATACATAGAACGAGTTTAGATCAACTAACCGACAGCGCCATATGCACCATAAACTGGTCGGACCACGCTGCTATCACACTCACAATAAAAGATCAGTACGACTACAAGCACAAAAGCCCATGGAGACTCAATGAATCCATACTACACAACCCACAATTCACGGAATTTATAACAGAAGAACTCACCCAATACTTTAAAATAAACAATTCGGAACAATCAGAGACACACACAATATGGCAGGCACACAAAGCGGTCATGAGAGGCCTACTGATACAAAAGGCGGCTCAACTCAAACACAGTACTCAAACACAATGGCTAGACTGGAATAAACAGTTGAATGACATTACTAGCCAAAACAAAACACTTCCGAGTGATACGCTGCAAGAACAAATTAAAAACCTACAAGACAAAATTAGAGACCACACACTACAACGTGTGAGCTATAACTTACGCAAGCTTAACCAACTACAATACACTCAAGGCAATAAGGCGAGTAAACTGCTGGCATCCAGACTTAAACAAAAAACAGTAAACAGTAAGATACCATATATAATAAACCAAAAGAACGAAAAAGTCATATCCCCCGTGGACATAAGCAACGCGTTCGCGTTATACTACAAGGAGCTATACAACCTCGAACAGTCCACCCAAATAACCCGACCGAGTAGCGAAGACATAAAGAAATACCTAGAAGACATCCATTTACCGACACTATCGAACGCCCAGATCGAAGAACTATCAGCCCCTATAACAATACAGGAAATAGAGAAAACAATTAAAAGTCTGCCAAAAAACAAAGCACCAGGCCCAGATGGATTCTCGAATCTCTATTACCAAAAGTTCCAACACATCCTCTCACCTCACCTTGCACAGCTATTTAATCAAGCCACACAATCAGGAACACTACCCAGCGAACTCCTGATGGCTCATGTAATCACACTCCCCAAACCAGGCAAACAACCAACACATTGCCCCAATTTCCGCCCAATCTCACTCCTCAACACAGATGCGAAATTATATGCCAAAATACATGCACAGAGACTGAGCCGAATATTACCCCAATTGATCCACAATGATCAGGTGGGATTTGTAGCAGGGAGGCAAGGATCGGACAATACACGCAAAGTTCTAAACCTAGTACACAGCGTGAGGAGGATGGGTACGAGGAGCCTCCTAATATCACTAGATGCAGAGAAGGCCTTCGACCGGCTCGGCTGGCCATTCTTATGGGAGGTGCTCAAAAAATTTCAATTTCCAACACAATTTAACAACGTAATCCAAGCCTTATACAGCCACCCCACCGCCAGGGTAGTAACAGCTGGATTCTGTTCAGACACATTCCAAATAACTAACGGGACAAGACAGGGATGCCCACTCTCGCCCCTTTTATACGTTTTGGCGCTGGAACCGTTAGCAGCCAAAATTAGAGGAGAACTTTCTATAAAAGGAGTCACATTAGGCACAGAAGAATATAAACTAAGTTTGTTCGCAGACGACATCTTTATAACCATGACTGAACCATTCATCTCCCTGCCCAATCTCATGTCACACATAGCCCACTACGGAGAACACTCGTACTACAAATTGAATATGACGAAGACGCAAGCCATGGGAATAAATATACCCAGACAACAAATGGAAACCATGCAAGAGAAATTCCCAATGGATTGGCGATCCGATTTCCTAACCTTCTTAGGCCTCAAAATCACGAAGAACCCATCCAACTTGTTCAAAACCAACTACAAAACCATGCTGGGACACTTTAAAGATACACTGAAAGCCTGGGAGGGGAAATATATATCATGGGTGGGACGAATAGCAGCCTTAAAAATGTCATTATTACCCAAACTACAGTATCTCTACAGAACCCTACAAATCCCACTACCTCGAAGCTTCTTCACGGAGACTCACAACATGTTCCTAAGATTTGTTTGGCAAAACAAAAAGATAAGAATTGCCACAAAGATTATACAACGAGACATAAATGAAGGTGGACTTGGATTCCCAGATGTACAAGCTTATTACAAAGCAGCAATCCTCCACACCGTAGCGCAAACCGCACCCCATCCCGAAAGTCCACAATGGCTCAAAATAGAAACCCACTGGGCCCATTCAACATCGCTCCATACCTACCTGTGGACCCCAGGAAAACACAGGTGCCCAATACAGCATTTACTCCCTACATCCCAATTACTGTTAGAAATATGGGATTCAACTAAAAGTAACCTAACTGCTTTCTACCCGATACCACTAGCGACACCGATAGAAGCCTTGGCTATAATAATACCCACAATAGACAAAAATAAATGGTTGGAACATGGCATCGTACGAATAGAACAACTATTTAACGAAGGAGCAATGATGCAGTTCCCTACCCTGCAAACTAAATACGACCTACCGCACCGCATGCTGTTCTCATACCTCCAAATCAAATCGTGCCTCAAGAACATACACCCCACAAAACAAAACAAAAAACCATCCCAGACGCTATCTCTTTACGAGAAATTCTGTACAAACGCCTTGCCCCCCAAAAAAGTAATATCATGGTGTTACAAAACACTCACACGCGCACAGAAAGAAGAGAAAATCACGTATAAAATAGCCTGGCACAAAGAACTAAACCGAACAATAGACGATGAACAATGGACAAGAGCGTATTCGTCACACAAAGGTAGCACATCCTGTACGAACCACCTAGAACTGCAAAGGAAAATACAATACCGCTGGTATTTAGTACCAGCCAAAATACACAGAATATGGCCACAATCCTCTACGAATAAATGCTGGAGATGCAACATTCATGAAGGAACAATGCTACACGTATGGTGGTCGTGTACCGCACTACAACCTTTCTGGCACAAAACGCACCAACTGATTAAGCAAGTAACCAAGACCGACATAAGACTCACAGAAGAAATGTGCCTACTATTCATTCCACCAGACAACATGGACAAAACCCAGTGGACAACGACATACCACATACTGATCTCAGCAGCCATGGTGATATCTAGATTATGGAAATCGCCCACGACACCGAATTTCAAAGCTCTTCTCAACCAAATCAACCTAAACTGGCAATATGAGACCATGCTCTCGAAACAACATGGGTTGAAGAAAACGATTTCCAAGGCAAACCTGATGTGGAAAGAATATTGGGAACTCCAAGACAAGCAGAAAGATACATCACCACCCAACCAACAAAACCCGACATCACCTACCCAGCTTAGCACACCCACACCCAACTGAAGACTATAAGCATACCCTACAATACAAAGGCAATACTATAAAGAGACTACCAAGCAAGGAACAAGTCCGATTGAATGCAGAAAAGTATAATAGGAAGACAAGAAATAAGGTCACAAGACGGAAGAGCTATGACTAGCGTACAGACAGGCAATACACCCCACGCTTCCCCCCTTCATATTTAATCATACTTAATCATATTTAATCATATTTAATCATATTTAATCAATAAAATAACGCATAAGAATACAATCACATGCGACACAGACAAATCAAGAGTTAGACCACGACTACGCCAGCATAAAGAGACAACACAGTACAAGCAGCCATACACCAACCCAACCTAGGGCAAGAGAGGCAAGTAAAGATATATCCAAGTCAGGACTGTATGAAGCTATTGTGAATCTAATGAGTTTTGTGATTTACAATGTCTGTATAATGTTCTTTACCCCCCCTAACCTCCCTTTCCTTTCTGTACCCCCACCTGCTTTAAGACAAATAAAAATTGTCAAATTGAAAAAAAAAAAAATCAGATCATCTTGTACCTTTCTTGAAGCCTTGGCTCATGTTTGGGGGATTGGAGAAATACACTCTGGGGATTGCTATAATCACTATACTCCCCAGGCTATGATCACTAAGTTCTGCTAAGAGCTTGTTCCTGTTCCTGCTCTCTGGGGAAAGAGAGGTTCACCCAGTGGAAGCTGGATCCTGGCCTTGGGTCCAGGGTGGGTGGAGACAGCGAGACCCTGGCGCAGCTTCGTCGCTGGAAGTGGGCTCTGCAGTGCTGATGGTGTCGGTTGGAGTGCTTGGAGTTCTCGACAAGCGCTAGGAGCATCGATTGTCGGAGGTACTCGGTCGGAGTGCCAGCGTTCCGTCACAGATGGCCTCCCCAGGAAGGAACAACAGCTCCTAAATAAGGTTACTCTGGCGGCCAGATGGGCCTTGGCCCAGTCATGGCTGAAACCCACCGTTCCCTCGACCAATGACATAATAGTGAAAGTGAAAGATACATACCTAATGGACAAACTAACAGCCCAGATCAGAAACACAGACAAAAATCCCCCCAAAATTTGGCAGACCTGGGAAGCATACGCTAATGAATAAACATCCACAGATAACGTAAGAATAGAGACCGTGGACCGAAAAGAGAGCATGGCCCACCGCGCGCTCCGCCGCGCATCCAGTGCTCCCCCTCCCTCCCCTATACCCAACTTCTAACCTCCCCCTTACGCCTCACGAAATCAAGAGAATTACACGTAACCAGTACCTACAAATCCATAACACCAATGTAACCTTCTTACTTACTAAGCATAGAATTGTACTGCAATTGTAAGGCAACGGTAGCTCCAGAGTGATCTGACCAAGTAAACACTAATTATACAATAACTCTTATATAACAACTGAGGCAACACTGGTAAACTATCTGAGTACCGGTACCAATTGATTGCTTCCTCTCATACCTAAACTGACTTTCTGTATTAAACATAAGAAAGGTAACAA